TCTTTTTTTCTGCCTTATCTTCGTCCGAACGGGGACTAAAAACAACCTCATTCTATAGATTGTTTTGTCTTGCTTGCTTTTTCATTTTGGGAAAAAAAATACCAAATATATTTGAAAGTTTGGACATGTATAATCTATGTACCAAGGTTGAATGACAACTGGCAAAGCATGTCCAAAATACAACATTTTCAAAAAACAAGATGGCTGCCAGTCGGCCATTTTGAATCAAGTCCCTAAACCACTGCATGTGCATATGTCCCACATAAGGTACTAGGCAGATGCAAAGAATGAACGAAATCGGTCCACAGGATTCTGAAATATGACTCTGAACAGACTGACGGACGAACACACGGTCGGACGGACAGACTCAGGAACTCACGGATGGTCGGGGACATGTATCCTAACATGTATGATCTATGTACTAAATTTGAATGAAAACTGACAAAAGCATGTCCAAAATACGACATTTTCAAAAAACAAGATGGCTGCCAGTCGGCCATTTTGAATCAAATTAATAAACCACTGCATGTGCATATGTCCCACATAAAGTACTAGGCACATGCAAAGAATGAACGGAATCAGTCCAAGGGATTCTGAGATACGACTCCGGATGGACGGACGCATGGACGCACAGACGGAGACCGAATTATAAGTCCCCGTTTTCGGACTTCGTCCGAACGGGGACTAAAAACAACCTCATTCTATAGATTGTTTTGTCTTGCTTGCTTTTTCATTTTGGGAAAAAAAATACCAAATATATTTGAAAGTTTAGAAACATTGAAAGCTCAGTTATGAGTGACATTGTCTCGCATAAATTAAGCTTCTCACACCAAAATGTTTTTGTAAGATAAAAAAAAAACGTTCTTCCAAGACAATCCTGTAGCTGCAAAACTGCTTTCACATTGTAACACCTGAAATATTTGAAATATTTTTTCAAAAACAATGCTGAAGGATCCAGTTTAAACTGGTCTGATTACATCCACTTTTGACTTCTTTGATCAGATCCTGTTTGGACTGGTTTCATCATTTCCAGTTTGGACTACATGGTTTCATTCTATGCACTTTGGACTGACTTGTTTGGAGCCAGATTTCAATGCATTGATCAGAGCCAGATGGGACCGGTTTTATTACATCCACATTGGTGTGGTTGGATCAGTGCATTGATCAGAGCCAGATAGGACTTGTTTCATCACATCCACATTGGAGTGGTTGGATCAGTGCCAGGTTGATCAGAGCCAGATTGGACCGGTTTCATCACATCCAGTTGTGGCTGATACTTATATTTAACATCTCGGCTATTGTTTCTTGAGAGATGGTTTCTTTGCAACTGAAATACAATGTAAAATTATATGAATTACCTCTGCCATGTAGTTGTTCTATTGTGAAAATTCTTCTTCATTAGTTTGATTTTACCCAAGTACCTGCTTTAATCACACCTTTTTTCCTTAGTACAAGAAACTATAATAATCTCCTAAACTAAATGTGTATTTTAGGCTTGCCTGCTTTTTACCATTTTATGGATACAATGACACTTACCTCAAGAAGGCACATTCCTGACTTAGTGGTGGGGTATCTGTATGCATAACATACCCACATTACAGGACCAACAATTAGAATGAAAATCAAAACCGCAATCACAACACTGATGGCAATCCTTGTGTTAACTGATGTACCAGATACATGTACTGTTACCACTTGGGATGAAGGAGACACACTTGTTTTGTAGCTCTCAGTTGGTATTGCAACTATATTAAGAGGAAATTACTATTAGTTTAAGCATTAATGAATTTAATATAATACCAGTATAATACCAGTCATCACGTTTATGCAAATTATCCCAAATAGAGGTTCACCATATTTACTCTATTAGAAGTACATCTCGAAATAGAGGTTCACCATATTTACTCCATTAGAATTCATCTCCAAATAGAGGTTCACCATATTTACTCTATTAGAAGTACATCTCCAAATAGAGGTTCACCATATTCAATTAAAAGTACATCTCCAAATAGAGGTTCACCATATTCAATTAAAAGTACATCTCCAAATAGAGGTTCACCATATTTATTCTATTAGAAGTACATCTCCAAATACAGGTTCACCATATTTACTCTATTAGAAATACATCTCCAAATAGAGGTTCACCATATTTACTCTATTAGAAGTGCATCTCCAAATAGAGGTTCACTATATTTACTCCATTAGAATTCATCTCCAAATAGAGGTTCACCATATTTACTCTATTAGAAATACATCTCCAAATAGAGGTTCACCATATTTACTCTTATTAGAAGTACATCTCCAAATAGAGGTTCACCATATTTATTCTATTAGAAATACATCTCCAAATAGAGATTCACTATATTTACTCCATTAGAATTCATCTCCAAATAGAGGTTCACCATATTTATTCTATTAGAAATACATCTCCAAATAAAGGTTCACCATATTTACTCTATTAGAAGTACATCTCCAAATAGAGGTTCACCATACTCACTCTATTAGAAATACATCTTCAAATAGAGATTCACCATATTTACTCTATTAGAAGTACATCTCCAAATAGAGGTTCACCATACTCACTATTAGAAATACATCTCCAAATAGAGGTTCACCATATTTACTCTATTAGAAATACATCTCCAAATAGAGGTTCACCCTATTTACTCTATTAGAAGTGCATCTCCAAATAGAGGTTCACTATATTTACTCTATTAGAAGTACATCTCCAAATAGAGGTTCACCCTATTTACTCTATTAGAAGTGCATCTCCAAATAGAGGTTCACTATATTTACTCTATTAGAAGTACATCTCCAAATAGAGATTCACCATATTTACTCCATTAGAAATACATCTCCAAATAGAGATTCACCATATTTATTCCATTAGAAGTACATCTCCAAATAGAGGTTCACCCTATTTACTCTATTAGAAGTGCATCTCCAAATAGAGGTTCACTATATTTACTCTATTAGAAGTACATCTCCAAATAGAGGTTCACCATATTTACTCCATTAGAATTCATCTCCAAATAGAGGTTCACCATATTTACTCCATTAGAATTCATCTTCAAATAGAGGTTCACCATATTTACTCTATTAGAAATACATCTCCAAATAGAGGTTCACCATATTTACTCCATTAGAATTCATCTTCAAATAGAGGTTCACCATATTTACTCTATTAGAAATACATCTCCAAATAGAGGTTCACCATATTTATTCTATTAGAAG